GGTCCCTCTCATTCTCTCCCTCTGAGAGGAGACCACGCTCTGTATGTGGAGTGTTACCCCTTTTCTAATACCTTCCTTTTGACTCAAATAAAAAAAAAGCGGGGGTGGGGGGAGGAAATGTTGATACACGCTACAACATGAACCTTGGACATATGGTAAATGAAACCAGTCACAAAAAAAGACAAATACTGTATTTTCTCACTTATATGAGGTACTTAGAGTAGTCAATTTCATAGAGACAGAAAGAATGATGATTGTCAGGGACTGAGGTAGGGGGAAGATAGGGAGCTGGTGTTTAGAGTTTCAGTTTTGTAAGATAAAGAGTTCTGGAGATGGATGGTGGTGATAGTCATGCAACGATGTGAATGTACTTTACTGAACTGTACACTTAAAAATGATTAAGATGACAAATTTTGTTATATGCATTTTGCCACATTTTTTTTAGATAAACAGTTGGAGAAAAGTGATATAGAATGACGATTTCAATGACTCTGGATTTCTCATCAGAAAATGTTCAAGCAAGACAGTTGAACGCCTTTAAAGTGCCCAAAGAAAATAAGTATATCCAGAGAAAATACATACAGAAATGAAGGCAAAATAAAGACAATTCTCAGATGAAAGAAAACTAATTGTTAGCATACTTGCTCTATGATAAATGCTCAAGGAAGTTTTTTAGGCTGAAGGGAAATAATATCAGAGGGAAACTTAGAACTTAAGGAATGAAGGAGAAACATACATGGTAAATATCTCCTCTTAAGTTCTTTTAAAGAAGTTTAACTACTGGGAGCAAAAACTGTAACAGTATCTGATCAGGTTTTCAATGTATGTCAACATAGTTCATATGACAACTATAATATAAAGGGGGAGACTCAAAGGATCTATTTGTTTGTAAAGCTTCTATATTTTACTTGAAGTGATAAAATATTAACTGTACATTGACTCTAAACAGTTAGGTATATACATCATAATCCTTAGAGTAGCTTTAAAAAAATAGAGATACAGCCAAAGGTCAATAGGTACATTAGAATAGTATACTAAAAAAAATTCAAATAATCCAAAAGGTGGCAATAAATGAGAGAGGAACAAAAACAAAGAGAACAAAACGAATGAAATGGTGGACCTAAATCCAACCATATTAATATTAATTGTAAATGGTCTAAATGCACCAATTAAAAACAGGAAATTGTCAGACTGGGTTGGAGATGAAGACCCAACTGTATCCTGTCTTTAAGAAACCCATATTAAATATAAAGATATAGGTTAAAATGATGGAAAAAAATTTGAAGACCAGTGGTTTGAAGAGAAGATCTGGGTTTCTTCTCTTAGATAGCTTGCTGGGGTGAGACAGGTGTGGCAGGATCACTATTGAGACAGACTTGGTATCCCTACAGCAAAAGTAGCAAGTCCCCAGGGTCTGGCTCCGAGACTTCCCACCATAGCTCTCAGTTCAAATAGGGACTATATGCTTACCACCCAGACGCTACAGCTCACAAGCCACTTGCTGAACCAAACTGAACAGGGGTTCTCCTTACTTCTAAGAATTCTAATTCAGCCTTCGCCAAAATAAGGAGATACTTTGATTTGCTGTAGCTGTGGGTGTGCTGCAACTATCATGGTGAGTTGGCACAGGTTTAGAAGATTCTAGTTTCATAGCCATGTGTTTTATGTTCTCTGATTCTGTGTGAATTTCATCATTTTCATCATGAATCTAAAATCCTCTTTGGTGTCTATGGCAGCTTCCAAAACTGTCTCTTTATCGATGCAGATGTAAACAAGGCTGACTCCATCTTTGTGTGCCCTGATTTCCTTCTGGTTTCCATGTTCTGAACTCTGACCTAACTAGTCTCAGCCAGCACCAAAGCCTCATAGTTAATGATCACCTGTGTCCTGTAAGTGTACACAATGTAACCATAAAGATTTTGGTCAGTAAAAGGCCAGAATGGCATAGCAACTGAGGTAAAAATCAAACTAGGTGCTGGCATCAATTGTAAGCAGTTATCCATTGTAAGACCACCAGGAGGTATGGTCCTTTTGTCTTATTGATCATTAGTAGTTCAGCTATACTACAAAACATTTACTGTAACAATTGTCTTAGCAGTGGAGATTATCTGTGCAGACTGTGGGGTCACCTTCTGCTGAGACCTAGTCTTCCTGTAACTTACCCTACAATAAATTGTTATAATCAGTGGACTTGCCTGCCTCATTTTCCAGTCTCAAGATACCTTCTCTGTTCAGTGGTCACTGTACCTTTGCTCCACCTTCAGATAGTTTCTAACCAGGAGTTGAGTGCTGGAAGTCCCCAGAAGAGGTATGAAGGGCACAGTTACTGGGGCTTAGGTTCTGACTTCAACCCTTAGAGTTTTACAAAGATGTTGGACATGCAAAGTCCAATCCAAGACAAGCCAAATCCTGTCAACGAAAGCCTCTTGCCTCTTGAAGCAAATAACGTCACCTACCATGGGACTGAGGTCTGACCTGTGAGTTGTGAGAGGAGGTATTATAGGGCAGCATTCTGGAACCTTCCTTAAAACACTGCTGGCACATTTCCTTTGTCCTTTTTTCTTTGTCCTTTCTTTAATCCATCCTGTTGCTTGGAAAGTGGATGTAGCACCTGGAGTGCTAGTTGCCATCTTGACCACGAAGACCTAAAGAAGGTGTGAGGCTCCTAAAAACTGTGAAACAGACTCGTCACATCAGCCCTGGGCTCCTGGGCTGCCGACTTTTGGGCTTTTATCTGAGGGAGATGTAAATTCCCATGTTTTGTAGGCTAGTTATTTGTGGCTTCTGTTACATATAGCTGAATTCAATCCTAATGACTGAAACCAAGAGACACTCAAATGAATCCTGGGGAGAAGTTCTGGGCGAAGAAACCATTCCAATCTATACTGTAGATAAAAAGGCAGTCAACTACCTTTCTTAAGGTTACCAAGAGAAAAACCAGCCGAAGATCACACCCCCTCAAAATAAAAAGCAGGGTGAGGAGGGGAGAGAGACGGATAAACCATTAATGCAGATCCTGAGTGGAGGGCCAGCCTTTGAACACATTTTAGTTCTAAAGGGTGTGGTGGGAAAAACGCTGTGCAGACAAGCCAGAAGCCCGTCCTCTGGGTCTCACTTCCTTGGCTTTGCATTAGGTTTTCCTCTGTGACAATGAGGTTGTGGAATTAGATATCTCTAGGCTTTTGTCCAGCACTGAAATTCTAGTACGTTTTCTAACCTCCATTACATTATCTGCTCCCTTTGGATGCATTAAATAATCCACATGAAGTGCTTATCACAGTGCTTGGCATGTGGCAAGGTGCTCTGTAAGTGTCAGCTCAAGAACCATGTTACTACTCATTTTCACAGTTTCCACAGTATCCTTCACAGAGGAGGTGCTCAGTCAGGGTTTGCTGACGTCTCCTGAATCTGCCTTTCGATCTTCTATTGACCCCCTGCTTGTCTTACAGAAGGCTTGTCCCCCATACTTACTAGATCGACAAGAAATACCTGAGAAGAGAAGACTCCTTAGGTTCCAGGTTATACAAATCCATGGGAGAAAAATCAGCAGTGGAGGAGAAATACACTATTTATTTACAGTTCTTTCACTTTATCCACAATTTCCCAAACATAAAAACTAAAAAAATAAAACCACCACTTGGGAACACAAGTGTCTTTCTTTAGTCCAGCTGAGGGCAGGTCACGAGCCCTCTCTGTCGAGGAGACTACTGAGGCACACTGAAGGGGGAAGGAGCAAGGTTAGGAAGAATGCCTGAGAAACAGCTCCAGATGAGAAATGTAACATGCCTGCGTGGTGGGGTTCTACCAGCAGAGACTCAAGGGTGTCACCCACTGGGGATACTGCTTGGCTTCCCAAGAAGATGACAGCTGCTTGCCACCATCCCCCATTTCTCCACTACCAAACACCAAAAATCGAATGTCGGTCACACATCTCATGGGCTGTGTAAGGTGTGATGGTGACGGGGCGGGGAACACAAAATGCCTCTCTCTGAGAAGAGCCCAAAATCCCAGGGACACACAGGAAACCCTTTTTCTTGGCACTGACAGTCAGTCACAGCTTCTGTCTTAAACACAAAGCTGACTTAAAAATGTAAAAACAAAAGCCTTCCCCAGATTCTAGGGGAAAGGCAGGGGCTAAAAACATGCAGAAGGGCTTCTGCCTCTGTGGTCCTCTCTCTAGGAGGCGACTAGAGGTGAAAGGTGGGGAGCTCTGTTCGCTAAAGATGGGGAAGGAGCAGGGCAGATGCTCCACAAGGCCAGGGAGGGGGAAGGAGAAAAAAACTCTGAGACACTGATGTTTGGGATGGCTGCCACTGGTTTTTGAAGCAGCTTCATTTGCTCAGCTATGCTCACTCTAGCAGACTCCCATTCACTTCCCTCACAGGAGGGCACCCAGAAACCAACCTGGAGGCACTAAAGCCACCAGTCTGGCAACTTCATCTGTGCTAGTGACCTAGATTGCTTTCACATGGTGCTGCACATTATAAATATAAAATCATATCTGCTACAAAGAGGACATATATTTGTACATCTTTACCCATATACATAATAACACAATTTACACATAATATCTTGGAGTGGGTCATCATGGAAAAAGGGCTTGGAGAGGTAAAAAGCCCCTTCTCCCTCCCCTGCCCTGATCCTTCTCAAGGGATGCTTGTACACGTGGTCACTGGGGCCCTTCCCAGCTGGTTGTGATGGGACTAATCTGGACACAGAAATTTAGACAAGTAACTAAATGCCGATGGGTGTGTACACCCACCCACCCACACAAATACACACTCACATACTGGTGAGAAAGGGAAAAATAAAATTCCTAGCCCTTGGGTATAAGCCTTTTCCAGAGTTATAAGCATCAGTGCCTCCTCCATCTGAGAACAATGGTGTTAAAAAGCTGCCCCTCACTGGCTCAGACTAGGGCAGAAGGTAAAGGGCTAGGAATTGGGGAGAGGGGCCAGGAGTCTTTTGAAAACATAAGGCGTTTTTCACTTGTGATCAAATCAAACTATGTCACAAAAAGCAACAGTATCAGTTGGGGCTGGGAGGCAAGAGACAGCCAGTCCATGAAAAGACAATGTGAGTTAAGACCCTGAGCCTTCCCCTTCATTTGTCCAGTTTCTTTTAAAGGGGCAGACAACCCTGTACCTCCTTTTCTGTACTTCCCAGAGCTGGGCCCATCCGCGTGGCATGGAATACTGACAGTGGTCCAGAAGACCCATCCAGAGACATGGAGTGGTGGACAGGCACGCCAAAAAGTTAAGACCTGGGTGGCGGATGTGAGCTTTTTACAGCAGGAGTGGTTCCTGGTCAGGGTCCATGGCTCGCACAGTGGCCACAGTGATCAGATTGCCATCAGAGATGGGGGCAGTCTGGGTCCTCATGGGGAGACAGCACCTATCGGCGGTAGTGATTAGGGGCGTCGGCAAACATGTACTTGAGTCTGTATGCCTCTGCGAGCAGCAGCCCGATCTCTTCATTGCCCCAGTGTATCGTAGGCAGGTTTTGTAGCAGCATGAGGAGACCCTGAAATGCAAGAAAGGACTTTTATTCTGCTGGGACTACAGAACTAAGGAGCAGCAAGACTAGGAATTGGGCCCTTTTCTCTTGGGTCACACAGCCCAAAGGGTCTGGCCTCCCTCCTTCAAAGCCACATACAGCCTTTGGCCCCTGGTTTGCTTTCAGGAAACCTTGAAAAACCTCTACTGATTCTCCAATTCACTAATATCCGCCTCTTTAAAAATATTATAGAGAATGACAACAATAAATAAGGGTATTTAAAAGAGAAAAATAATCACTCATCATCCAAATAGCTCTCCTAATTTTGAAATATTCCTTTTCAGTCTTTTCCACATGCATATTTCTTTAAATAGTTATAATCAAAATTATAATTTTATATGCTTTCAAATAATTGCTTTAACTATAATTTTCATGTTTTTCCAAGCAGCCTTCAAAAATGATTATATTCAGTGTTAGTACTCCATCATGTGGCTATACCCTAATTTACTCAACCATTTCCTTTTTGTTAGTTAACTTAATTTGCTGCTTCTTTAAAAAAAAAGAAAAGAAAAAGAAAAACCTTTATTGGAGACTGCTACATATCCTTTTGCATTTGACGTTGTTGTTGCGACGCTATGTTCACTTGTAATCACCGTATTTATCCTCTGCCCTGTTCTCCAAAGACCATCCTCCACCTACCTGTCTAGCTTATTTCCCACTGTTCCCAACACACATGCCTCAGTCAGCCAGGTCCACTGCAGCCAGATTTATTTGTGTCTCCATGGTTTAATTCATGTTGTTCCTTTTACTTGGAACACTTTCTCTTTTCTCCTCCACCTATCTAAATCCTATTCAGTTTTCAAAGCCCAAGTCCCTCAAACAGCTCCATGGAGACAGCCTATTAAAGAGGATATTACAGTAAAAATAAATATGAGATTTTAGGTTCTCTCTGTAATGTAGTTACCCACGCTATCGCTGCTGCTCCAAGTTCTTTCTCTCTCTTTCTGAACTGGATATTCCTGTTATTTTTCTGATTATAAAAATAGTAGCAAGACATAAACCCCATAGCCATAAACAAACTGACAAATTTGATTATCTGTAATTTTTAATCCTTAATATGTCAAGAGGTACCAAAAATAAAGTTAAAATGGAAGAAACTATAATAACACCTATAAAGGACAAAAGGTTAATACTCATAATCAAAAAGGAGTGCCAACAAATTAGTAAGAAAAAAGAGAAAACAACCAAATAGACAAAAAGGTGCGTGCTGTGACTCAATAATGTACGGAATGCCAATGGCCCACCTATACGTCATCATTACTTTTAAAAACCTTGCCTTAGCTGATCTGAACACTTGGGCAATGTTTTATAATTTTCAGCGAAAAGGTTTTGCATATCTTTTATGAGATTTCTTCCTTTGATAACAGAAATTTAGCTGGGCACAAAGCTGCCTTAATCATACTGGCCACACATCACTGTTATGTGTGGCCAATATGATTAAGTTCTGGCCAGTTCTGGGACAGTATGACTTCTGGGTTCTGCCCTAGACTTTTCCTTCTCCCCTTCCTAGAAAATGGCTATAAATGTAGCAATGGAAACAGTCATCCTAGACCAGAGGTCCCAACCCCCGGGTCACGGATGGGTACCAGTCCGTGGCCTGTTAGGAACCGGGCTACAGAGCAGGAGGTGAGTGGCAGGTGAGCTGAGTGAAGCTGCACCTGTATTTGCAGCCACTCCCCAGCGCTAGCATCACCGCCTCACCTCCACCTCAGGATATCAGGCATTAGATTCTCATAGGAGCACCAGTTCCCGGTGACTAAAAGGTTGGAGACCCCTGATTCTAGACCATCAGATTAAAGCCGTCTGTTGAAGATGACACAGCAATAAGATAGAAGAAATGAGTTCCTGCTACCCTGGAGCCATGTTAGCCCTGGGCTGCTTACACTTAGACTGTTAATTGAAGAGACGTAAATAAGTATATGGTTTTAAGCCACTGTTATTCTAAGGTCTCAGTTACAGGAGACAAGTTTATATCATCTTAACAAATACAGGCCATGTCTATCAAAATGCACTTGGAGTTTGATCCAGCAACTCTACTTAAGTTTCTCTCCTAGGGAAATATTCACACTCCTGTACAAAGGTATTCACTGCACCACTGCTTCAAATAGCGGGGAAAATGACATTAGAGAAGTGTCTGTCAGTATGGAAATAGTTAGGTAAACCATGGTTATCCATATCATGAAATATAAGGCAGCACCTGTAAAAAATGAAGTAGGACCACGCGTGCCATAGTGGAAAGATATCTAAGATGTTTTTAGGAAGAAAAAAGAAAGTAAGTTGCAGAAAAATATGTGTAGTATATCATTTAGGTAAATAGGAAAACATAATATATATGTAATTTATATGTGTATATATAAATTTTAGAAGGCTAGGTGGTATACTGTTAACAGTGGTTACTTTTAGGGATGGGAGACTCGGGTTTTCTCATACTTCTGTATCTTTCAAGACCTTTGTTTTCAAATTTTACAATAAAGTCTTTGTCTGTTACTTGTGTAACAGAACATTTCTTTTCCTGAGTAATACACATTCTGTGGGAGTTTTGTTGAGTTAAAAGTAAAAAAGCAGAAAATAAATGACCCATAACTTTATAATCAAAAGTAAGCTACTTTGAAATGTTTTGACATAGTTCCTTCCAGTCTTTTTTTCTGCACATTTTACACAGTTGAAATATTTTCTCTATATAATTTTCAATCTATTTAGCATCTATCATAAGCGTTTCCTCTGATATTAAAAATTCCTTGGAGACATTTTCAATGGCCAAACAACTTTCCATGATTCAGATGTATTATAATTTATTCTACATCTTCCCATTTTGAGCACTCGATTATTTCTGGTTTTTCACTATAATGAAATTATAATGAACAGCCTTCTGCATAAAGCCATATTTTAGACCATTTCCTTGGGCTAAATTCCTAGGAATGAAATTCCTATGTCAAAGGGCATGAATATTTTAAAGCACTTAACACTCATCTAGAAAATGCATTCCATAAAAATGCTCATTTCCCCAGATCTCCACCAGGACTGAATACTCTCATTAAACAAACTTTGTTCATTGTAACGCCTTTCCCTGAGATCTCCAAGTCTTAGAATAGAACTCAAAGCATTAAGCCAAAATGGTGGTGAATCCATACGAAGAACTTAATAAGAAAGCAATCAGGCTACACGCGTGCATAATCTCCCAGTCCTCAGTTGCTGGCATCTTTCCTGCACCCTCCAGGTAAACAAACACCCCCTCCCATCACATCCTTGTTACTGAAATTCACTCAACCAGACCAGTTACTCAACCAGTTATTGATATTCTTCCAATCCACCCATACACTAACATTGCTTTTTAAAAACTGCTTTTAGCTGCTCTGAACATTTCTGGACTGTTCATTTCTCACAGCAACATTCTCCCTGGGTTCTGTCTTAGCCTCAGTTCTACATTTGCCTCAGAGCTTTTTTTTTTTTTTTTCTTTTTTAAAGAGAACGACATTTTTATCTCGACTTATTATTTTTTTAATGTTGTCTATTGTAATATAATACCCTCCCTCATGACTTATGGTCTCCCTGACTTCTGGCCTCTTTTTTGACTCTTCTCCTGATTCCTGTGCCCTCACCCCCACTCAAACTAGAAAAAGTATCACCATTTTTTTTTTTTTTTTTTGCCAGCATCTTCCTCAGGGAGTCAACTTTTATTCTAACTTTGATAGTCTCTCTATTAGAGAGATCATAACTTCTTCTGTACCTCAGACTCTTCGGCTACCTGGTGAAGCCTGTGGACCCCTTCTCAGAATAATAGTTTTAAATACAGAAAATAAAATATACAGTATCACAAAAGAGACCAGTTAAATTGAATATAGCTGTCAAAATATTTAAAAATAAATTGTGATATAATAAATGTATTTCATTACATACATTCTAAAACAAAATCAAATGGGAGATTAAATAACTACCATAATTTCAAAGTAGCAATGAACATGTTTCGAGATACTGGCAACAACTTAACATGACGTGAAAATACATGGAACTAGTGACAAAGACAGGTACTGCTAATATTGCTGTTCTTTGTTGCCTAAACTCATTATTGTAGGAAATGCTAACTTTCAATTAGGGGTCACTAAAAATAAAACTATAATCATTTTTCCATTCACATCCAGAGATCTCCTGACTTCTATATGTGGACCCTAAGCTAAACTCCTTTGTTCTTCCCATAGCTTGCCCTTCTCTCGAGCCACACCACAGCTAACAATAACTCTTAGACTTCCCTCCAGAGTCTAGTTCAACACTCAAGTATCCACATTAACACTTAATATTAAATTTTTTAACTTCATTTATTGGAAAAGTTTCTTTTTTTGTACAAATTGCTTTTGTTGGCACAGAATCTCACTCCCACTTTCAGTTAACTTGCTGGGTAAGGTCAAATCACTAGCCCATTTCTTGAGCACATCTCACTGACTCAGAACAAGCCCCCACCTTCCATGGAGGGAAATTCAAGGCATGATATTTACTTAGCCTCAACTAGAACATAGGAAAGAAGATTCCAGGGCTCAGTGACTCAATGGAACCCTTTGGGCTTCAAGTGATCATCCCATTTGTCATCACAGCCAGAGGTTCCAACCAGAAAGACTACAAGAGCTGAACTGACTGCAGAACTCTTAGAAATACATGGGCCCAAGACTCATTCCTAGCGTTTTGGACTCTAAAAACCTGGGGTTGGATCTGGCAATCTACACTTCGATCACAAATGTCCCCAGTGATTCAGACGGGCAACCAGGTCTGGGGTTACTGTGAGAGGAATTAAAAAGCTCCTGAATGAATAAAAGCACACTTGAGACTCAGGACTAATAATGAGATCCTGAGGAAGGAAACTTCTAGATATCACACAGAGAGTACGTGACCTTTCGTTAAATAAAGGTAAATCTGTAAAACAGAATACCCTGCAGCCTGGCTATAATTTTAATGCTTTTAAAAATTTTGCATAACCA